AGGGATCTAGCAGGCAGCTTCGTTTCCTTGCTGTTAACACCTTGTTCCTTTTGCAGCAAGTCAACAGCCATGTCATTTTTTTCCATCATTTCCCTGAATGTTTTGATTAGTGCTCCGTCACCCGACGGTGGTCCTGACGTTATTTTTGTCTCTTCAAACGTGATGGAAAACACACATAGCGATGGTGCTTTCACGAGAGATATTGGCCTTAGTGTTTTTGACTGATTTCAATTTTCAGCACTTTAATGGGACTAAAACAGTGAGAAATTTCAACGATTTTTATTGGTTCGGATGGGAAGTAGTAGCGGGATTGCTTACGCGGGCTTCGTCGAGCCGGATGTGGATTTCGCCGAGGATGATCTGTTCGGTCCGGATGATGCTGATGATGTTAACTTTACCAGTAAGTTCAAAAAAACACTGCAAAGGGAGGGGGCATAGGCGAATTTAGGGCGCCTCCTAGGTGGGGGATTTTTCACCTCCTTTTCTCCCTTCGTTATTACACCCCTCCCCCTCCCAGTGATCTCGCTGCACCACCTTCCTCCTCCTCCCCGCTCTCACCAGTCGAAAATAAACTGAGACTGACAGGACCCTTAACGGTAATTGCCAGTGGTTTCTTTTAGAAGAACTAATAGCAGCAGATCCGGAGCTTATCACACGTTCGTTTTTGGAGAGGGATAATTTCGAAAAAGAGCTCGGCTATTCGGCAGATGATCCATTCGCGGAGGATTTCAGCGATATAAGTCAACATGAAATTGTTAACATTATTGCGGATGGTGATTGGGTGGGAAGGTTTGTTTTTTTTTTTTTTGAAAAAATAACACTTTCAAATTTTTGGGATTGAGGAATTTCCCAAAAATCCTGGAAGAAGTTTCCGAAAAAAAAATATCCCTGGTATTTATGCAGAAAATTTACTTCCCCAATCACAGAGGGAAATTCCCAGAGGAAAATTCGGAGGCAAAAATTCGCAAAAAATTTTCTTTCTCTGAAAAAAAAAACTCATGATAAATCTGAAGTAAAAAAAATCATTTTTAAAATAATTTTTTGTTCTTTTTGTATGAAAAACTTTTGGAAGTTTCCTTTTTGTATGAAAAACTCCTGGAAATTTTGCTCGAAAGGAAAATTTTTGCACGCTTTTACAGCAAAATCCCATTATTGTTGTCCTTATTTTTGGTTTTCGAAAAAGAATTTTGGCGCATTTTTTTTCTTAAAAAGCGTTGATTTGTTAATTTCCAGGCCCATTATTGTTATCTATGCTTATCGTCTTCCATCGAATAAAACCTTTAATCATGCCAAATTTTTAAGGTAATTTTTGCTTCTATGCCTATCTTTACAGCTTACGTGAAGAGACTGGGATTATCAGTCCATTCATATCAGTGATAAATTTGTGCTGGAATATGCCAGGGAGTCAAACTCTCCATCAGCTTGTTTGTTAGCAAACCCGGGGTGAGGGAGTCATCGCTAGCCTTGCCAGCTAGGTTGGTGCTATCGCTTGTTACTACTCAGGCCAATTTAGAAAGCTTCCGCTTATCATACAGTTGCGATTACGGAAAAAGTTTTGACTTTACAATTTTTATATAGCGCTTTTGCTGGAAACTTTAATTTTAAAATGCTTTTTAATTTTTGTTGTGAAATTTTTGTGAAAATGTTTTGATTTTTTGTGAAATTTTTAATTTTAAAATATTTGAATTCTCTAAAAAACACCGCGTTTTACCGCACATTTCTTGCTGAGGTCATGCAGCTTACAGATAATGTTCAACACACACACACCAAGGACATCTTGAAACGGCTAAAATCTTGCCAAAAATTTCTACCAAGAGAGCTGCTAGAGCTGATAATCCTATCAAAAAGGCAAAACGAACGTCAGGATTGCCAGTAGGCTGACCGCTAAACAAAGTAGTATTGGTCAAATTTGAAGAGCCAGACGTTTGGGTGAATTACAACTGTTCTGAGCTTCTTGATCATATTAGTGTAAATTTGTATTTCTGTAGATTTTTGCAATTCACACTGGATAAGGTTGTCGAATTGGATTACACGATTGTTTATTTTCATTACGGGTTGCGAAGCAACAATAAGCCACCGTTGAAATGGCTTCTTCAAGCTTATACCATCTTAGACAGAAAGTAAGTACGATTTACCGTCATCTTTCAAAGACAATCTATCGAAGACTATAAATATTTTTATAATAAATACTGGTATTTGCTGAATAAATTGGACAGTTATCTTTAGGTTTACCTAAGCATCAGCTTCATAAATACAGAAGCCCACTGCTGGAGACGAGCTCCAGGCAGACGAAAAACCCGTTATCGGTGAAGGACTTCCTCATTTATGAAACTGATTCTTAGGTAAAGCTGAAACCGAATAAGGTAAAGCAGCATAGCTGAGAGCTCTCAGTTTTACCTAAGCATGAGCTTCATAAATAGAGAAGTCCACTCACTACTCATTTTTTCTTTCATAAATTTAGGTTTTCTTTAATTCAATTTTCTATGTACTGCTCTTCCTCTTCCTCTTTATTGCTGCCTCCAGTTGTACAGGCATTAAACGACAGCAGTTAGCAAGCAGGCGATGCTTTTTTGCTTAGCTAAATATGGGAGTTGCGCAACCTTTTTAGCTTATCGGCCAAATAAATGGTATAAATCACAAAGTTTTGGGGGTTTTTTTATCAGATAATATGAATACACCGTATTTTTGGAAGAAAACCTATTGAT